AGCAACATAACATCGTCATGCACACAACCGGCTTTCTCAGAACAACAACAACATCATCACACACACAACTGGCTTTCTCAGAACAACAACATTGTCACACACACAAACTGGTTATCTCAGAACAACAACATCACACACACAACCAGCTTTCTCAGAACAACAACAACGTCACACACACAACTGGCTTTCTCAGAACAACAACATCATCACACACACAACTGTCTTTTTCAGAACAACAACGACATCACACACACAACTGGCTTTCTCAGAACAACAACATTGTCACACACACAAACTGGTTATCTCAGAACAACAACATCACACACACCACCAGCTTTCTCAGAACAACAACATCACACACACACACAACCGGCTTTCTCAGAACAACAACAACATCGTCACACACACGACTGGCTTTCTCAAAACAACAACATTGTCACACACACAAACTGGTTATCTCAGAACAACAACATCACACACACCACCAGCTTTCTCAGAACAACAACAACATCACACACACACAACCGGCTTTCTCAGAACAACAACAACATCGTCACACACATGACTGGCTTTCTCAAAACAACAACATTGTCACACACACAAACTGGTTATCTCAGAACAACAACATCACACCCACCACCAGCTTTCTCAGAACAACAACAACATCACACACACACAACTGGCTTTCTCAGAACAACAACAACATCATCACACACACAACCGGCTTTCGTGGTGCAATATCAGCTCTTCCCAGGGCATTGGCCTTTGAGGGCTTGCAAGGCCCCATGACATCCGCACAGCTGTGTCTGCGACACACGGCTCTCCCTCTGCGTGTCCCAGCCTTCCAGCTGCAGCGGCAGGACGCCTGTGTGCAGAAGTCCTTACCCCTGTGCAGTGCTGCTGGCCCCAGGGCTGTAGTGGATCTCGGGAGAGTTGCTGGTCAGGACTGCACAGTGGTCGTCGATTATCTCTGCCTGGAACTTGTCCCGCAGGTCTTTCTCCAGGTAATATTTGGCCGACCGGTTCAGTCTGGAGCACACGGGGAGAGTGACACTTTAAAAATCAACCTGGTTCATGGTTATGGAGAAAAATGTAGTCGCTGCAGACCGGTAAGTAAGACATAAATCATCAAGATCTGAATTAAAGAAGCTCAGAGGAGTGGACTTTAGTAGCAGTGGCACAGGCCACTGTCCGACAGGTCACTATTTTCAGAACAGAACGCCAGTAATAAGGAGATTAAAAGGGAAGTGCTGTCCCAACAAAATAAATCCATTGATGGCATAGAAGAGTTTTACAAATTTCGAACTAAGCAAGAAATCGCTAACTTTGTGAAAGTACTGTAAGTCGCCATGTTGTTGTAAACCCCTGGTCTCGCCACGGGCGAGAGCAAGAGTTCCCACGAACTGTGACGTGATCCATTCCTTCCTGCTCACTAGTCCCCGTCATGACTCATGTAATGTGATCTAGAGCGAGTCAGTACAGGCTGTGCAGCAGACGTTCCACAGCAGACATGTTCCAATGTGATCTGCACGCAGAGTTAACAAGTAAGTTGTATTCATCAACAAATGTGTCTCTGTGTCTATATTTCTATTGGATTAAAAGAGATGTATTCACAGGTCTGCTTGCTTACACTGTCATAGGGCCGCATCATGTCACCAGAAGTTTTGTTTGCCTCCTTCTGAATTGCAGAATATGGCACTGTGCATACCTGGACATTTCATCTAAATTGTGATGTCAATTGGAGGCTTTACATGTTACTGTGTATATCTTACTGTTATCAATGCTGATTCTTTCTAAGGCCGAAATATAAAAATAGAGTTGCAGTTCCCCTTTAAGACAGGTAGGTTGGTACCTCTCTGTGCCCGTGTCCCCCCACCTGATCTGCTCGTTGGTCTGCTCCAGCGTGCGCTTCAGCAGCGAGGTCACGCCCTCGATGACCTCCAGCTCCTTGATGAGTTCCCGCTCCACCTCGTCGTGCACCAGGTCGATCCCCACGCGGCTCTCTCTGTCCCAGTGCCAGACACAGCCCGTCAGTCACGCCGGCAGGCCACAGGCCGCCGCCTCCCACACCCACGTGTCACTTCCTGTCCCACACCACCCCACCGCCCTGACGAAGCAGGGAGACACAGAGCAGAGTCCTTCCTGATGTGCCCCCTGCTTGGGGAGAGGCAGCATAGCCCCCTGGCTGGAACCAGTACCGTCATTATTCAGATTGATCCTTAACAGCTTTACTGACCCTCTTCTGAAAATACTTTAGCAAGCAAGCATTAAGCAAGAGCTGCAAACAATACCTGCACTGCAATGGGAGAGCTAAGGCAGTACACAGTACTCCAGGGTCTTTGTTATGGTGATTATAATTGTACAGAAGGTACACTCACGCATTTATTAGTCATTTCAAAGGGCAGCAGCATGTTTAATATATTATTGTATAACTGTATTATCTTAGGCTCTATGACTGGAAATAATAAATTACATTACCTACATCTAATTTTTGGAGAAGGTGTTGGGTTTTTTAGTCGGTGTCAGGTTCCAGGTTAAGAGGAGAAAAAAATCCTCACACTCCAGGCAGAAGCAGCGCTGTAGCTGAGTGGACTAAGCCAAGAGGCCTGACTGTCCAGTCTGCTGTCCTGCAGGTTTTCTATGTTTCTTAAAATCGCAAGCGTCTGAAGAACTAGGAAAGGCTTCAACTTCTATAAGTGAATTAACTGCTCAGGTGGAAGAAACACCAGACACCTCCCCGGCCTTGCAGGACAGGAACTGTGCACCCCTCTTGGCCCGCCCAGGAGGTGGCGCTGCGCGGCCCTCACCTCTCAGCCAGGCACTGTTGCATGACTCTCAGCGGCTCAGCGCAGCTCTCCAGAGCTTTCTCCAGCCGCGTCTTGTAGGTCAGCAGCACGTCGATCTCCTTCACCAGCTCGGCGAGTTTGGTGTCCAGCTCCTGCTTCCAGAACTTAA